TATTGCTATTGCTATTGCTTTGTAATATAGTTTGAAGTCAGGTATTGTGATACCTCCAGCATTGCTCTTTTTGCTGAGCATTGCCTTGACTATTTGTGCTCTCTTGTGTTTCCAAAAGAACTTTAGAGTAGATTTTTTCAATCTCTGTGATGTCATCGGGATTTTGATGGGAACTGCATTAAACATGTAGATTACTTTTGGTAGCATAGCCATTTTACTATGTTGATTTACAATCCATCATCATGGGAGATCTCTCCACCTTCTGTAGTCTTCCTCGATCTCTTTCTTCAGGGGTTTATAGTTCTCCTTGTAGAGTTCATTCACATCCTTTGTTAAGTTTACTCCTAGGTATCTGATTTTTTTTGAGGCTATTGTAAATGGAATTTTTTCCATATATTCTTCCTCAGTTTGTTTGTTGCTGGTCTATAGAAAAGCTAATGATTTTTGTAAGTTGATTTTGTATCCTGCCACCTCGCTGTAGCTGTTGATGGTGTCTAGGAGTTTTGGGGTAGATTTTTTTTTGGATCTTTAAAGTATAGGATCTTATCACCTACAAATAGGATATTTTGACAGTTTCTTTACCTATTTGTATTCCTTTTATTTCTTCTTCTTGACTAATTGCTCTGGCTAGGAATTCCAGTACTATGTTGAATAGGAATGGGGATAGTGGACACCCTTGTCTCATTCCCAATTTGAGAGGAAATGGTTTCACTTTTTCAACACTAAGTATGATTTTGGCTGTAGGTTTGTCATATACAACCTTCACAATGTTGAGGTACTTTCCTTCTATTCCTAGTTTTCTTAGAGCTTTTATCATGTAGTGGTGTTGGATCTTCTCAAAGTCTTTTTCTGCATCTATTGAGATGATCAAGTGGTTTTTGTCTTTGCTTCTATTGATGTGCTGTATTACATTTACAGATTTAGATATGTTGAACCACCCCTGCATCCCTAGGATAAAGCTGACTTGGTCATGGTGAATGATCTTTCTGATGTGTTGTTGGATTCGGTTTGCCTTTATTTTATTGAGGATTTTTGCACTGATGTTCATTAAGCAGACTAGCCTATAGTTCTCCTTTTTGGAGATGTCTTTGGTTCTGGGATGAGTGTGATACTGGCTTCATAAAATGAGTTAGGCAGTGTTCCTTCCCTTTCTATTTCATGGAACAGTTTAAGGAGCGTTGGTATTAGTTCTTCTTTAAAAGTCTGATAGAATTCAGCAGAGAATACATCAGGTTCTGGACTTTTCTTTTTTGGGAGACTCTTTATTGCTGTTTCAATTTCATTTTGTGTTATACATCTATTCAGGTATTTACTGTCCTCTTGGTTCAATTTTGGATGGTGATAAGTATCTAAAAATCTGTCCATTTCTTCAAGATTTTCAAATTTATTAGAATATAGGTCCTCAAAGTAGTCTCTGATGATTTCCTGGATTTCCGTGGTGTTTGTTGTTATCTCCCCTTTTGCATTTCTGATTTTACGTGATTTGGGTTTTTTTCTCTCCTCATTTTGATCAGGTTTGCCAGGGATCTGTCAACCTTATTTATTTTTTTAAAAGAACCAACTTTTTGTTTCATTGATCCTTTGTATTTTGTGTGTGTGTGTCTATTTCATTGATTTCAGCCCTTATTTTTATTATTTCTCTCCTTCGGTAGGTTTTGGCATTTGCTTGTTCTTGTTTTTCTAGGAGTTTGAGATGTAGTATTAGGTCATTGATTTGAGATCTTTCTGTCCTTTTAATATATGCACTCATGGCTATAAACTTTCCTCTCAGAACTGCCTTTGCTGTGTCTTATATGTTCGGGTAAGTCGTGTTTATATTTTCATTAACTTCCAGGAAACTTTACATTTCCTCTTTTATTTCATCAATGACCCATTGATCATTGAGCAATGTGTTGTTCAGCTGCCAACTGTTTCCATGTTTTTTACTATTGTTTTTGTTGTTGAGTTCTAGTTTTAATGCATTGTGATCAGATAGAATGCATGGGATTATTTATTTTCTTCTATTTTCAGAGGCTTGTTTGTGCCCTAAGATATGATTAATTTTTGAGAAGGTTCCATGGGCTGCCGAGAAGAATATATATTGTGCAGAAATTGGAGGAAATATTCCATAGACACCGGCTAGGTCCATTTAATCTATGGTGTGATTTTAGAGCTAGGATTTCTTTATTGATTTTTTGTTTGGATGACCTATGTGTTGGTGATGGGGGGTATTAAAGTCTCTCGGTACCACTGTGTTGGAGTATATATATGTTTTTGGGTCCTTCAGAGTATGTCTGATGAAATTGGGTGCATTGATGTTGGGTGCATACAAGTTGATAATTGTTATTTCCTTTTGGCGTATTTCCCCTTTTATTAGTATGGAATGTCCTTCTTTATCTCATTTGATCAATGTAGGTTTGAAGTCTACTTTGTCTGAGGTAAGTATTGCTACTCCTGCCTGTTTTCAGGGGCCATTCGCATGGTAAATCTTCTTCCAGCCTTTCACCCTAAGGCATTGCTTGTTTCTGTTGATGAGATGGGTCTCCTGTAAATGAGATTGTTGGATCTTCCCTTTTAATCCAGTTTGCTAAACAATGTCTTTTGATGGGGGAATTAAGTCCATTTACATTCAGTGTTAGTATTGATATGTATGTGGTGATTCCTGTCATTTAGTTATTTTTGTTTTTTAAGGGTTTGATTGTGTGCAGCTAAATCAATGTTACTCTCTACTATCTTGCCTTGTCTTCTTCTGTGGTTTGGTACTATCTGTTCTTTCTTGGTTTTGTATGCTTTCACTTTCTGTGTGCAGGATTCTTTGAAGAATCTTTTGTAGTGGTGGGTGGTGGTCATATATTGTTTTAACTTCTGCTTATCATGGAAGACTTTTATTGCTCCATCTATTTTGAATGATAGTTTTGCTGGGTAGAGTATCCTAGGGTTGAAGTTATTTTCATTCAGTGCCTGGAAGACCTCACTCCATGATCTTCTTGCCTTTAATGTTTCTGTTGAGAAATCTGCTGTGATTTTGATGGGTTTACCTTTGTGTTATTTGTTTTTTCTCTCTTACAGCATTCAACATTCTTCCTCTATTCTCTACGCTTATTGTTTCCAGTGGAAAGGTTTGCCTGCTGTCTACTGTTGCAGGCTCTGCTCACTGAAAGTTCACATGGAGAGCTGCCCCTCCCCCCTTCTCGGGTTCTCCACACCTCTCTGCTGCGTGTCCTTTTCAGTTCCTTATTATTCAGTTTTTTTTTGTGGGGTGGGGGTCAGTCTGTCCAGGGAGCTCTGTTGGTTTATCCCAGGGGTGGTTGTGGGAGTATTACGTGCCACTTATTTGCTCACCTTTTGGTCTGTGTCTCCCAAGCAGGTTTGGAGCTGGCATCTGGCAGCGTGGGAGCCCTCCTGGTTTCTCAGTGTAACATGGTGTGGAGAAGTTTTGTGCAGGCTGGGGGTTCAGGTGTTGGGAGTTTTGCTTCTTTTGGTGGGTTTTTTTCTGCCAAGTGTGGCTCCAGTATCTCAGCAAGATTTTTGATTTGCGGAGCTCATGCTGTCTGCTTCCTCCCTCTAGTTGCCATCTTTCTATCTCATTTTTTGTTTTCTTGATGACAGAAATTCTGACTGAGATGAGCTGGAATCTCAATTTATAATGTGGTTTTGATTTGTATTTCCCTAATGCCTAAAGATGTTGACATTTTTTCATGTATTTATTGGTAATGTTTGCCTTTTCTTCTGAAAATTGTTGGCTCAGTTCACTGCTCATCATTTATTGATTGGATCAATCACTCTTTTGTTGTTTAATTTTTGGGATTCTTTATATATTATGGATAGTATTCCCCAGTTGAATGAGTAGTTGGCAAAGATTTCTCTCATTGTCTCCCCATTCTATTTATTGTTTCTTTGGCTACGTATAAGGCTTTGGATGCAATCCCATTTGTCAATTTGCTTTACTTTCTGAGGTATTGGAGTGCTACTTAGCAAGTCATTGTCTATGCCTATATCTTCAAGTGTTTTCCTATAGTTTAAAGTTTCAGGTCTTACATTAAGACCTTTAATCAATTTTGAATAGATTTTTTCAGGTGAGAGATAGTAATTTCAGTCTTCTGCATGTAGAATTCCAATATTCTGGCACCTTTTGTAAAAGAGACTCTTTTTTCCAACACATGGTTTTGCATCTTTGTTGATAGAATCACCTGGCTATACCTGTGTGCCTTTAGTTTTGGATCTTCCATTCTGTTCCATTGGTCTAAGTTTCTGACAGTCCCATCCTGTTTTTGTTACTGTGGTAACAAAAATTTAAATTTGGGTATTGTGATTCATGTAGCCTTGCTCTTTTTGATCAGGATTCC